ACGAGATTGTAATTTAATCTATCCAGGTCTGAACAGTGTTCCTCATAAAACCGGACACGTTGTATAGACGATAAAACACCCACGTTAATACATTCGTGGAAAGGACGTTTCGCGGAAAGGACAATCATTGGTACTCGCGCATTAGTACTAGCTGTAAATCAATTCAAGATGGCTGAAATACGATGTAAACCACTTGCAAATCGATTCAACGATTTATACGCCAGCCCATTGTGTCCAGTGAGCAAGGGACAACTGGCGTGTGTTTAACATTCGGCTATAAATTATCAGATGAATCGTATGCGTTCTGCAAATCGTTAATAAATTATTAACTTAACTGTGATGCGTGTTTTTTAGAGATTTTAGTTGGCATTGTACCTGTTTTTGTATGACGGATTGGTTTTTGAGCTTCTAGGAGGCAGTTTTTGTGGAGGCGGTTTAGAAATTGAGATTTATGGATTTTTAGAGTTTGAAGTTGAATGTGGAGATTTGGAGGTTGGAGAGATAACATTTTCAAGTTTAATGATTTAGAAATTTGAAGATGTGGGTGGGTGGGAGTTTAGAAATTCAGAAATGTGGATTTGCAAATTTTTGTAGTTTGAAATTGAGTAATGTGAAAATTTGAAAGGTGGAGAGATCAAATTTTCAGGTTTGCTAATTTAGAAATTTGGAGATGTGGGTGGTTGGGAATTTGTGAATTCAGAATTGTAGATTTAGAAATTTTTGAATTTTCAAATTGAGTAATGTGAAAATTTAGGTGTCGAAAAAATGATCATAAACTAAACAATTAAAATAAATCATTCAATAAATTCAATATAAAATTTGTTCATTTTTTACAAAACCACATCCAAGAAAACACAGAGTTCCAAAATTTATTTTTCATCCCATTCGACCCTTGTAGCACATTTATTGCAGCAGCTAACATACCAATGAACATCGAAATTCGTCGACGAAATGTTCTTTGTACAATGAAAGTTCTTGCACGAAATTTATTTCGTACCGTTAAGTGTCGAACAGCCTGTTTGTCTTTGGGGAACGAGATTGTAATTTAATCTATCCAGGTCTGAACAGTGTTCCTCATAAAACCGGACACGTTGTATAGACGATAAAACACCCACGTTAATACATTCGTGGAAAGGACGTTTCGCGGAAAGGACAATCATTGGTACTCGCGCATTAGTACTAGCTGTAAATCAATTCAAGATGGCTGAAATACGATGTAAACCACTTGCAAATCGATTCAACGATTTATACGCCAGCCCATTGTGTCCAGTGAGCAAGGGACAACTGGCGTGTGTTTAACATTCGGCTATAAATTATCAGATGAATCGTATGCGTTCTGCAAATCGTTAATAAATTATTAACTTAACTGTGATGCGTGTTTTTTAGAGATTTTAGTTGGCATTGTACCTGTTTTTGTATGACGGATTGGTTTTTGAGCTTCTAGGAGGCAGTTTTTGTGGAGGCGGTTTAGAAATTGAGATTTATGGATTTTTAGAGTTTGAAGTTGAATGTGGAGATTTGGAGGTTGGAGAGATAACATTTTCAAGTTTAATGATTTAGAAATTTGAAGATGTGGGTGGGTGGGAGTTTAGAAATTCAGAAATGTGGATTTGCAAATTTTTGTAGTTTGAAATTGAGTAATGTGAAAATTTGAAAGGTGGAGAGATCAAATTTTCAGGTTTGCTAATTTAGAAATTTGGAGATGTGGGTGGTTGGGAATTTGTGAATTCAGAATTGTAGATTTAGAAATTTTTGAATTTTCAAATTGAGTAATGTGAAAATTTAGGTGTCGAAAAAATCAAATTTTCAAGTTTGCAAATTTACAAATTTAAATGTAGGTGATTGGAAATTTATAAATTCACCATCATTTACAAATTTTTCTCAAATCTATATGTCGAGAAATTACCAACCTGTGCCACAGGTTTTCTCAACATATTCTAACCTAATATTATAACCTAACCTAACCTCAACACACAAACCAAAAGTATCACCTGAAGTATTAGATTTCTACTAAAAAAAGAATGCATGTCACAAGCCTATTACAGGTACTGCCCAGTAAATTAATATGATATATACCTTTTGAGATAATCAGTATAATTTAAATTAAAATGACATGCAAAGAATCTAGCAGTAAGGTTATCCATGAAAAACTAATTTCATTAAACGATCACAGCAAATCTTTACTCGAGTTAAGTGAACCGTTTAATCCATGCTTGGAAAACTGAACATTCCAGTCTGGTGAATGACAAGACTATAATCTATCATATCTATGGAAGTTCAATGTGTATTTGTAGAGGTTATGTCGTTCCATTGGAAGTGGGATTTCTTGAATTTTTGAAAGAGTTAAATTAAGAAATGTTTATATAAAAAAATATGTTAACATCCGTCATCAAATATTTTTATATCAGAAGGGATTTCATGTAAATAGATTTTTTGTGGATAAAATGAGAGATTTCGAGGTTATGTTCTTTTAGAGTTGAGTGATCAAGTTTTGTTACAAATTATAATAAATTGTAAGGTATGTAATAAAGTGTAGATGGAGGTGCTAATGTAGATAATTATAAATATGACTGAATTTCACTAAATAATAAAATTCTGTAATTTTCTTATAAATTGTAATAAACAACAATATTATATAACACATACATAAACTACATAAAAATACTTACCAAAAAAATTACAAAAATGACTGAATTTCACAAAATAATAAACTTCTACAATTTTCTTATAAATTGTAATAAACAACAATATTATGTAATACATTCATAAACCATATAAATATACTTACTCAGAAAATTATAAAAATTACTGAATTTCACTGAACAATAAAATCCTATAATATCCCTATAAATTACAATAAATAATATTATATAACACATACATAAAAATACTTACACAGAAAATTTATAAAAATTATTGAATTTCATTACAGATCAAGTCTCCATACACTTCCTTACAAATTATTATTATGTAACGCACACAAGACTATAAAAATTACACAGAAAATTATATAGATCAATAAACATCACGAAAGATCCTATTATTTCCCCACAAACTACAATAAACGTCAGTATTACACAATTCGTACAAAATCCACATAAAAACACTCGTACAAAAAATTACAAAAACCACTGAGTTCCACCAAATAATTAAATCCTATATTCCCATAAATTCCACCAAACTACATTATGTAAAGAATAAAAACCCCAGAAAATTGAAAAGTTTCACGCAAGATCATCATAAAACTGTCTCACTCAATACTGCCTTTAATAAACGTCCAAATAAAAAGAGGCAGAAGTATCGTTATCTCAAACCGGCCTTAATGAATGCAAGCCTCCAAACCTCGTTAAGGGAACCCATAAACCTAGATGTTCGTTTGGTCTGTCCGAATCAGCGAACTGGGTCAAATTGACATTGTGATTTCGCAAAAAGTTATTAGCCGACGTGGGGGCTTTAACGGCGGGGACGCGAGTTTATGAAAGGCCGGTTTTTCATCGGGAACTGGAACACTGTTTCCACGTTACAACGGTAACATTTGTCACGTTCGTATCAGAATGAACGTAGCACGTTAACGAACCACCGTTCGACCAAACGAGCCGTGGAATGACGTTGCACCGGGCCTGACACAGATGCCATGGCTTGCGTGTCCTTCCACGAGAAAGCGAAAATTACTGGAACTGGCTCTTTCAACTGGGAGATGATAAGTTCGATAATGAATTTGATCTGCGCGCGACGATTGAAATTGAAGCGTATTAATTCGAGTAAGATAGATCACGACTGAAGTACGAGTGCGTCATGTTTGCGTCTTGAATGGGACACGAGTGCGTCATGACTGCGTCACGAGTACATCATGACTACGTCACGAATGCGGTACAAGTACGTTATGAGTGCGTCACGAATACATCATAAGTCGTAAGTGCGTCAAGAGTGCACCATGACTGTGTCACGAATGCGGTACAAGTGTCATGAGTGCGTCATGAATGAGTCATAAGTCGTAAGTGCGTCATGACTGTGTCACAAATGCCGCACGACTGTGTCATGAGTGCGTGACGAATGCGTCGTGAGTGTGTCCTAAGTGCGCCAACAGTGCGTCATAAGTGCGCCAACAGTGCGTCCTAAGTGCACCAAGTGTGCGTCACGAGTGCGTCCTAAGTGCGCCAACAGTGCATCATGAGTGCGACATGAGTGCGTCACAAATGCGTCCTGAGTGTGTCGTAAGTGCGTCATGAGTGCACCAACAGTGTGTCCTAAGTGCGCCAAAAGTGCGTCACGAGTGCGTCCTAACTGCACCAAGAATCTATCACGAATGTGTGTCATGAGTGCGTCACGAGTAAAACTCGTCAAAATAGTGCAAGGTGTCATGAACCTGACACAGGCTTTCATGTCCTTCCACGAGAAAGCGAAAATTACTGGAACTGGCTCTTTCAACTGGAAGATGATAAATTCAATAATGAATTTGATCTGCATGCAACGAAGCGTGGAATTAGGATTCCCAAGTGAATATAAGTGGATATCCAAAAAATGAATTTGACTTTAGAGTTTATTTTGCTATGTTGACTGTTCGAGTCTCTCCGAAGATTTTTTCGTGGGTACAATTTTTGTGACATTGGTGAAAACAGTTTCTGATTTTCTATTGGTTTAGCTGGAAGGTGGAGATGGAAATGCAAGTGAGTGGTTTACCTAAAGTGACCGTAGCAAGTAATAAAATCCAGCTATCGTGAATAGAAAAGTGCAAACAAAAGACTACTGCTGAGGGTTCAGATGTGACTGACGATAAAAATACTCGGTAGACTTGGGTCTTATTGCTGTTGGGAGTGAAGAATTGATTTGAAATGAAGGAAAAATCGTTAAACTAGCGTCTTGTGGTGAGGTCTGATCCTCTCGGTGTGACATTCCTAACAAAATGTATCAGGTGGACGTTTAATATTTGAATGCGTTCAAATATTATGAACATGCATTCCTAACATAAGGTGAATAATATGCGAACGCGTTTATTGCAGGTTGGTTCTCCGTTGTCTCGAACAACAGTGGTACCGGAAGCGCCAGGGTGTACAGAAGAGTGGGTGCGTTGGTTCGAGCCGGTGTTCCGGCGTTCCTGCTCGCGAAACCTCTACGTGCCTACACGCTAACACACTCGAAGATGGGTAAGTTTAATAACTTTTGATCGTCCGGGTACACGGTTGCTTCACAAATGACACGTAATTGCACGTTTCATAAGGGGAACGGTTATTCCTTTCGCTCATTAAGAAGTTAGTCACTTAGTTACAAGAAATCGTGAAGCAAGAAACGGTTATGACATGAATATGCGATAATATAATATAATGAACAGCTATAACGTATAGTTGTTCATTTACGATATTGTGGACGTTTTCAATGCGATCATCACGTCCCTGCAATTTTCTAAGATTGCACTGAAAATAGTGTTTGTACTCGTCATGTCGCCTCCAATGATACAGCGATTCGTTAATTGTATTCTCCACGCTTCTTTTTGTTTACGTGACCCGAATACTTGTTTTCAAGCTTCTTTTGTATCATTTTTTATCTCAACCTGTTTTGGAGAAAGATAAAATTTTATTATTCGATGAACATTGCTGGCATTTTAGGCTGTTAGCATTTTAGCTAGCATTTAGACAGGTCTGTCGTTAGTTTAGCTCATTAGCTAGGTTTTAAATATTAAACATTATCTGGAGCATCTTGAAGCCTTAGTCTCAAAGTTGATCTACAAGGTATCACTGTCTAAATACTCTAAGATCATTTCTAAAGATCCACATGTCCATATTCTCAAGGTTCCACATTTCAGACTACATTTCCAAGGTACCAGACTATAAAATGTTCAAAACAACCAAGCTCCACATTTTCAAAATCTAAAGATCCTCACATACTCAGGTCTAAGAGTGTCACATTTCAAAGTACATTCCCAAGGTCCCAAACTGAATGTTCCACACCTCCAAGTCCATATGTCCCAACATCTGAAGATCTCCAAACTCCATATTCTCAATGTTCCACATTTCAGACTACAAGGTCTCACTTTCCAAGATGCCAAACTATGATTGTTTAAAAATTCCAAGTCCCACATTTTCTATAACCCCCAAATCCAAATCCTCAGATCTAAAAGTGCCACATATCAAATATGTCACATATCAAATATGTCACATATCAAATATGCCACATTTGACCTATGTCACATATCCTTTACATTTTCAAAGAGACACATCTGCAAAGATCTTCCAAAGGAGTAAAAGTTGGAGGACGATTCGCTAGGAAGTTCCGGTGACGTCGAAGGACGAGTATGGTGTCCATAGAACCCCTGTTTCGCGCGACCATAATCGTTACTGTGCATAATGGCATAACACCGTGTGTATCGTAAGAACCCCGGCGGCTTTCACCGGGCCGCATGCCTGTAACGTTACGTGCTCCTCGCCTACGTTCAAACGCACGAACAAGCCCGACATACACTCGCATTGACAAACACATTGACATTCGTGTCACGGCCAGTGGCTGCACCCAAGGGAATATTCCGAAGCGTGGATCGTGCGTGAGTGCATGTGGCTCTGTGTGCACTCATGCCCCATTAGTGCACTGTATTTGAGAAAAAGTCGAACGGATATTAGCAGAATTTAGATAATTTGAATTCGAATGAGATTTGAACGGTGTGTAGCTCATGAGTTGGCACGTCGACGTGAAACACCCCAACTATTCTATTTCGACAAGTAGACTTATTAGTAATATTTCAAATTTAAGTTGTAGTATACTTTATATATGAACACTAGATTGAATCCCTCAAATGATATTTTAAATGACAAAACTTGTAGAAGAAATTTTTGTAGAAATGTCAACTTTAAGTCAAAGAATCTTAGGTAGTTCATCTCTGCTTTAATTCAAATTTAAATATAAGTGACCAAACGTCCTTAAACTCAGTGTCAATATAATGAATGAAAAGATAAAGTCACATGAACATTTTCTGTTACAGAAAATGGAAACTTGAGAGCCCACTACACGAAAACCACAGTGCGTGCCGGAGAAGTGCTGCGACTCGCCGCGGTTTTTCAAGACACCAGGAGAGCGCCGGTCAACGGCATTTCCGGTGTCGTTAGCGGCGTTCCGGAAGGCAAGAGTTCAAGGTCGTCGGAACGAGATCAGTATGCTCAGTGCCTAGATTCTCATGGGCACGAACTTTTCGCCCCTCTATCGGCGAGAGGAGAGTTCTATGCCACCTGTCAGAGCGGGAGTCTCGATACCGGAAGCGACGCTGTGTTGTACAGGGTCCATCAGCTGGCGAGAAGAGATCTTCCACTTAGGGTAACAAATTTTATGTAATTTTGGTAGTAAATTTATATTGATCGTGGTACGATTAAATTGAGCGACTACTTTGGTAATGAATTATTAAAAAATTTTTTAAATTAAGAAATTAGGTAAAGTTAAGTGACATTATTATAGGATGCTATATAAATATTGTGTGCATACAATACTGCATATAAGAAAATGGAGCTCAGACAGATTTCATTTAAAATAAAATAAAAAAAGTTGTAGCAAAATAATTTCACATATAGCCCTTAATTTATTAAAAAAAATTTGGCCAAATATTGTGAATACCTGATATGTATGTACATATGACACATATATGACATAATATATTTTGACGATATTTCATTTAAAATAAAACAGAAAAAGTTTTAGCAAAATAATTTTACATACAACCCTTAATTTTAGTAAAAATAAAAATAATCCATATATTGTGAATATATGACATATATGTACATATGACACAATATATTTTGATGATACTTCAATGTTAGCAATTAATTCATTATTAAAAATTTTGCATTAAAATTAATGCTTATAGACTTGTTAACACCAGCACTGTTTCCAAATTACAAATGAACCAAATGTAATAAAAAGCTTGATAAATTTTGGTTAACAGGTGCGATTAGTAGCGGGTCCTCTGCCAATACCGTTGCCACGAGATTATAGCGGACTGATGCAGCTGGAGGGCGCAACAAGGGGCCCCATAGTTTTAGGATGTGCTGTTCCTTTGCTACCCGAGAGACCTTTACCAAATTCTACCGTCCCTGAACTTTTGGAACTAGTTGCCACGGGACCAACAGCTCCTCGAGTTAAAAGGGCACGGTTAGGTTGCCCTTCTGAAGCGAGATTGCTGGCGTCGCCCAAGATGCAGCGGCTACTTTCAGCTTGCAGGTGAAAACTGAATTTTTACTATTTTAAATGATTTAGTACTTTGAGAATGTTTAAGTAACGACAAGGGTAAAATTATTATTTATGCAATGATAAAATAATTGTTTGCGCAACAGTGAAATAAGTAATATTATGAGGTATATATTAATATATGCATTATAATAATGTATATAAAGTATATATTAATGTATAATTTTACTATAACATACATTAATATTTAATATGTAACTTATAATAAATTAGGTGTTCATGGATTATTACTATAATGAAACATGTACTTATACATTAATTATTATGAATTAGATGTCAACTTACGTATTAATTATTACAATATTATATGTTGAATTAGATATTCACTATACATATGTTAACTATAACTATACTTAACAGGATGGTCCACATATGTGACCATATGTTGGTAAATTCAAAACATAACTAAGCATACACTCACATATCAGTATTCTTCAACAGATTGCTATAAAATTTAGATACAACTAAACACTGTTCGAATTCTCATAGAAATGTTGGAATTCTCCTTGAATTACAGAAGAGCCTTAGACCAGCGAGCAACGGAGCCCCGAGTAGCGCCTCCCAAGCCCAGCAGCACCAGCGGCCAGCTAAAAGAACTGCACCTGAAGGAGATCAAATCGAAACCAGAAGCGAAACCGATCCTCCAAAGTCTGAAAGAGGGTTTGGAGCACATTAAGAGAACAACGATCAGGGATCGCAGCAACAGTCGAGCTAGTAGCAACAACCACAGCTTCCTCGACCGGATATCGAGGATAGCTCAGGGTGGCAGAAGCAGAAATCCGGCGAAGAAGTCCGCCTCGTTCACGTTCGCTGTTCGTCCGGAAATCGGCATGCGGACAGAAAGATACGCCAGTTTGGAATCGGAGACGAATCTGCTTCAAGGTTCGCAGTCCTCGAGGCAGCAGGTTCAACGATCGGTCTCCACCAGCGTGCTGGAGGTGCAAACTCAGCAGGATCTGGATCCTCCGTACTCCAAGGTCAGAGATAGCCTAACTCCGTTGCCGCCCACTCCGCCTTCCAGGACTGAGGAGATCTACGCCGAAATTTGTGAACCGACGAACGTTAGCCCGCCAGAAGAGAAACCTCCGCCTGGCAGCGCGGACAAAAATAAGGGTTACGTGAAATTGGCGTTGTCGCAGTCCGAGATTTCTGACGCGAACACTTTCGATGATGAGGAGGGAATTTATAATACGGTTTGTTGATCGTGAGTGTTCCGCGCGTTCTGCGGAAAGGCAGCACTTCTGCAACGAAGTGCTTTCTGGAGATCTTTGCGAGCCGGAGATTCGAGTTGTTCGAAGTACTGTGTGTCTCATGAGAAGTCGCGCGGCGATGTTTGGTCGGACACGCCCACAATTTCTATTGGAGCAGGAGGTCGATTAGACAGGGCTGTGAACTGCGTAGGTGTGTTAGGAGCTTCTTGGGAGGCACGCACGGTATTTGCTATGTACTGGAAGATTATTGAAATGGTGGCTTTATTGGTTGAACTGTGGATACGGACGGTAGGTATTGAAGAGTAACGAATTGGGTCTAGATATGAGTTGTTCGAAAGACTTGCGATTTGGACATTTGACCTTTAGCAAACTTAAAAATTAAAAAATTTCGTTTGTATTTTCGAAGGATCCTAAACTAATATATAGCAGACCAAATCTACCTAATTATAAGGTGCACATAATCATTTCCAGTCTTCAAATCACGAAGACCAATCCGAACAATTCCTAATTATTTCGAACAACACGAATCAGAAGGCTCGCAGAGGGTGCTCGTCACGTGCCCGGTCACGGGTCGTCAACGACCCCTAACACGGTGACCGTTAAAGGTTTAGTTTATCAAATTAGGAGCATCTGGTGGCGAAACCGAGAAGCTCCGGCGATCCTTGTCTCTCCCACGAGAAAAGACAAGGACAGCAACAATTTCGTCGACGCGACACGTTCAAGCGAACAAACAATATTTTCTCGTACTTTCTTTTCCAAAGTATTCTTCGCTTCATTACGCGGCTCCGTACCGAGCCCGATTTTGCAATTTGCCCCTTGAAATGTTATAAAAATATATTTTCGTTTTTAATCAAATTTTGAAGGTCGAATTGCAAAGGCTCTGTATCGACCTGCACTGTACGGAGAATATTTTGAAAAGGAAGTACGAGAAAATGTTGCTTGTTGCTTGAAAATGCGTCGGCAAAATTGTTGCTGTCTTCGTCTCTCGTTGCTCTGAACTGTTTCAACGAATGTCCGCAGTGGAGAGACAAGGATCGGTTTCTCGTATGTCGCCGGAGGATCAAAGTCGATTTAGAGTTCGTTTTACTAAACCCTTTGACACTGAAAACGCTATAGCGAAGTTCATTGATAGAGATAACGCGCGACTTCCTGGCTAGACCTGGAAGAACCGTTCGCGCAGAAACAGCGCTGCGCGGCGCCTACGGAATTTACAACGCCATTTGCCGAAGAAATTATCCTCCCTAAGTCTTTTTCTCCCCTTTTCCCGCACGGTGTTCACCACAGGGAACCGGGCGAAAGATTTACAAGGCTGTTGACCGGGGAAAATGATCGCGTAATTACGGTCCCGCGCGTGTACGGCGGATGTAGCGGGGCTCTACGGGACGCTGCGCGACTTCCGGTACCGAGGAATCTGTGCTGCGAATCGATATGATTAGCCTTGTCTGATAACCCGTATTCGATACTTAAAAAATAACAAATTTTCTAATAATTTTCTCAAATTTTGCGTCTTCCTTTCAAGTACGTAAATGATTTTATTATCGGACGTATTAAAAATTAACTCCCGAATAATCTTTGTGAAAATAGTTTTTAAAAAAATGACTTTTCCTTTCTAACCCTATTAAAAAATGTTTATGATTGTTGTACTTTTAGAATTTATTTAGGGACTTAGCTGTAAATAAAGAAACTAAAGACATATCTTAAGTTAATGAGAAAATAATTATTTTCAATATATTATTATCAAATTGCCTTGTGAATCTTTTGCATAGATTGAGGGTGGATAATGAGATATTGTATGGCTTTTGTAAATTTGTTGGTAATCTATAGTGCAATGGCTGAAGAAGACTTACAGCATTTTGTACATTTGTTAATACTCCACGTACTGGTTGTGAACGGCCACGAGGAGAGGTTTGTAATTTTCTTACTGTATAGTTATTATTTTGAAATACACTCATTTGCAATTAATTTATGGAACAGTTTAATTGTGTCAAAATAATTTCATACCCATTCCTGACTTCTTTTCGTGTTTGTCAATTATTCCTTATCCAACTACGGTTTTTACAGACTTGAATTTAAAAAATTCTAAATTTTTAAATTAATGACTTGCAAAATTTTTATATTTTCAACTTTACAAATTTTTAAGGTTCAAAATTTTCAAATTCCTATATTAGTCAATTTTTAAATTTTCAATTATACTATAATTGAATTATACCAATCATACTCACTAATTATACTAATTATACTATCAATTATACTGATTTTCAATTTTTAAATTATACTATTTTTGTGTTTTTCAAATTTCTTTCTAGATTTCTCAAATTTTCAACTTTGATATTATTGAATTATTTTAAAAAATTCCTATATTGAATTTGATAATTTTCCAAGTTATATTTTTTAATTTGATTTGCTGTCCCATTCGTTGTCCCGCATCTGATCTTGCACACCCGGTGCCTGCCCGCATTCTATCCGCCGGGCAACTAATCTGCCCCCAGCCGGTTTCGAATAAAGTAAATCACGAAGTTAAGTGAAAAAATAGTAACCAAACAAAAATACCCCCTTGAGGATCATTCTATGGGGAATTCCGAGGGCAAAGCAGCATAAAAGGATCTTTCGAGTCACGTAATCTGCCCAAGGAATCTGCCGGCGGAATTTAAACGATCTCAAAGAGTTCTGGGAACAGGAAATTGCTGGTGTCCTTGGAAGGTCTAGGTCGTCGAAATTGCCCAATTCAATGGACAAGGCATGCTTCAACCTAAGAGTAGGTACATCAGGAGGTACCTTTGATGTTCGGCAGACTGTCCCTTTAAATGGCTTCCACGGACGAGCAGGAAATTTAAATCAAACGAATTTAATTTCAACATCTAATAATTTTGTCAATTTTTTGTATGTCACTAATATTGCCTTTTAGAGTAATCAAATTGGAATAGAAAATAAAAAGCTACGAAAAAGATGCTATAAAAACAATAAAGATTTCACTGTGTTATTTCAAATCCTTTCCACATACGCCCAAAAGACTTCAAATTATCACAAAACTTGCAAGTTATGACCCTAACCCCATAAATCGTCTAAAATCGACCAACCATTAATCTATTAACTCGTTATGCGAGGGTGTCGATTTCCTTTCCTTTCGTGCGATGTTCCAAGTTCGCGTGACGATCGCAGCGATCGTTCTTTAAACGTGTGATTACATGCATCGAGACGCTTCGGGGAAGCTGGAAAGCCGGAGATGCAACCGGGATTACGAACGGCAAGAAAAAAGAGAAAAATCGCGAAATGGGCAAAGGGGTTATGGAGGGACCAGGCAGAACAGGATCCTGTCACGCTCAAAAATCCCTGAGAGGCATAATCTCCTCGACGTTTTTCGAGTCCTCCTTTTCTCCTTCGAGGACTCGTCTATGGGAACTGCGCGTGTTGTTTGCGGATTCGAGTGAAAGCGTTGCATGATGAAAATGAAGAGTGAACGCTTTTGCGGATTGCCTAGCGCGTTCAAGCGATGTACATTCTGTTCTATGAAATGAGGTCTGAAGGATTTTTCAACTCTTTCACTAAGGATACTTGGATCAGAATTTAATTAAGGGAGTAAAGTTAAAATTTTATTATACTGTTTACTCAATTTTTGGAGAGTATAGTTACAATTATAATTTTTAAGTGGCTTTGTTTAATGGAGGGTTCGACCCCTGACCCCCGTTTGTAAGGGGGCTCTTGACATTTGTAATGTTTCGCATACTTCACGTCTAAATTTCGTCTTTACCCAACGATTGGTTTAATAAGTATGGACTATCGAACGCGTCATGAATGCGTCATAATTGCGTCACGGGTGTGCCAGGAGCGTGTCATGAAAGCGTCATGAATGCATCACGAATGCGTCAGGAATGCGTCACAAGTCCGTCATGAATGCGTTGCAAGTACGTCATGAGTGCGTCACAAATGCATCGTGTGTCGTAAGTGCGTCACGAATGCGTCACCGGTGCGTCATGAATGCGTCAAAAGTGCGTCAGAAGTGTGTCGCGTTTGAGTCCTGAATACGTCACGAGTGCGTCACCGGTGCGTCATGAATGCATCAAGAGAGCGTCAAGAATGCATCACGAATGCGTCACAAATGCGTCACGGGTGCGTCTTGAATTCGTCACGAGTGCGTCTTGAATTCGTCACGGGTGCGTCACAAATGTGGCATGAATGCATCATAAATATGTCATGAATGCGTCATGAAAACGTCATGAAAACGTCATGAATGCGTCACGAATGCGTCATGAATGCGTCACGAATACGTCACGGTACATTAAGAAAAACTACCACAACAAGGAACTACTTTCCTCCTTCAACACTATGACAAGAATTCATAAAATTGAAGAGAAATTATTTAAAATAAAAGAGGATGAAATAAGTAAAATTAAAAGTGATTTGATTTATTTACTAATTTAGTCGAATTTGAATATACTCATGAAAATGACTAGCCAATATGTAATAGCAGTCCCGTTTCCTGAACACCCAAGCCCACGTGGTCATTACGCTTTCATCTGGTTCATGTAGCAGCCGGTTCACCCACGACCAAGAAAATTGAAAACGCCGAGACGATAAACACACCGGCTGGGCTCTGACTTTGAGGAATAATAACGCGAAACGATCGTCAGCGGCTATAGGTCATTAATGTTTTACGAGCACGTAGCGAGCACAGCTGCGTCTATTCAATTACAACTAACAGGGAGAGCCACGAGACTCTCTTTTTCTCTGTCGGCCGGCGCAGCGATACCCGCTTATGTCTATTAATATTAACGGCTCGAAACAACGATAATAACGCAGAACTATAGGGATGCTGAGGTGTTTTCCTTGACCATGCCGACTGGACTGGTGGTCCCTGATACTCCGTAGAATAAAAGGTGCATTGTTATGGGGTGATCCGTGGCTGGTGCTTGAAATGAAGATTGCAGATGGGTCGATTCTGTTTCTTCCCTTTCATTCGATACATTCCGCAATTGGATATTAGGTACGATTATGTTCATTATATAAATTAATCTCGTACATTGTGCGATGTTACACGTTGCGGGATATCATACGAGTAGCAATAATCGCTAGCGGTCGCTGAGGGGCAGGAGACCCTAGACACCCCTTTCAGCACTTTTGATAATTTTGCTGGGGGTTTGGGCCCATTTTGAGAAAATTTGATCCCCTGATAAAACGTCGTATCTCTTATGGTTTGGCCTATACGTACATAGGCATGAGTAGTCAAGGTGGTATCTCATAGTATTTTGACTCGCGTTCGCTGAGGGTCACTCAGACCTCATTAGCCACTTTTGACCATTTTTCTAGGGGTTTTGGCCCGTTCTAAAAAAGTTTTGTTCTGTGACAAAAAGTCGTATCTCGCACGATTTGGCTTATATGTATGTAGGCATGAGTAGTCCGAATGGGGTGTCAGTACTTTGACTCACCTACACTGGCTCATGGTCACTCTCCCTCACAAGCCACTTTCTCACAATTTTTCTAGGGGTTTTAGCCCATTCTGAGAAAGTTCGCTTCCCACACAAAAAGTCGTATCTCTCATAGTTTGGCCTGTACGGATATAGGCATGTGTGGTCCGAACAATGTGGTCGGGATGAGGCTATACATCGGTATTTCATATTAAATTGAATTGCATTGCATTACATATTACATTGTATGCTACTACACATTACATTACGTTACGTTACAACTAAATTACATTACATATTATTGCATTAATATTACAATAGCCAAGTAGTATAAAAACTGGAATCGTCATATTTCAGTTAAGACGTCCGCCAGTTGCCTCCAACTAAAAACTATTTCTTCACACTTACATATCCACATATCTTATTCAACCGACAATTTTAACAACCCGTAATTGTTATCATCCCGATTCCCAAAACAAAAAATTAAAAAGCACTCCTCACCTCGCCAATTATTGGTATCACACCATGTGCAACGGTGGATCTTATGCAAACAGTGAATCACAAGGACGAGATACGTTCGTATCGATCGAGACAACGGCGCTATCGGAGTCCGGTAATCTTGGTCCACGGGTACATATTTCAAGATCGGCATGCGTGAACGATCTCATGGCCGTCGGGTTGCCTTGCGGTCGTGTAACTCGCCTTTACAACGTTAATGCGACGGCCGCAGAGCGTAGCCTATCATATTTCGCAGACCTGCTCGACTGATGGACGAGCCGTGTTTTAATATGCAAATTAAAATGCAAATAATCCGCCTACCCCTTCCCCCACCACCTTCGTAGAAATTTTACCCTAGCTGTTCCCAACTATAAGCCGGCCTAATCATCCCTGGAATCAGTTTTGGGACGTTTTTGCTGATCTACTTCTTTCGAATTTTGCTAATCCTTTCTTGGACTTTTGCTTTATTTTATCGACTAGTTTAATAGCTTCGTGTGTTTAGTTAGTTTGGGAATTCAGTTATGGACCTGTCTCAATTTAGTTACGGAATTCAGTTGGGGACCTTGAGTTATTACTCTCATTACCAATATTTAAGTTCTCAATTTTTACTTACAGTGAATTTCTTTTTCTACTATCTGATTTCTTTTTAACTA